GGGCTGTGGGATGTGAGGTACTGTGAGAATCGCAGTGAACAGCCAGCTTGTGAAGCTGAACCTCCTGCTGGTGACCGACTCACTCGCCGCTCACGCACTCACACACACTCACTCACTCACTCTCTCTCTCACTCACTCACTCACTCACTCACTCACTCACTCATACTCTCATTCATACTCTCATTCATACTCTAAACCTCGCCAGGTTGGGGACACGTCGTTATCGTCTGTGACAGTGCCGACTTCTCTGGTGTTGTGTGAAGGAAGTGTACACCTGGATTGTGTGTCTGTGTGTGTGTTCTGTTGTGGTGACGGTGTGTACGACGACAGTGATCACCGACCGAGAGTTGGGTACTCCTGCATGGATGTTTCCTAGTAGATTGGTATTTATTCACTGATCTCTTCCGCTATTTATTTGCCAGCTCGAATTTTTCTCGTTTTCTTTTCTTTGTGTGGGTTTTATTTTCTTGATTGGGGGAGGGGGGTTGTTTTATTATAATTTTATTTGTTTTGTTTTTGTTTTTTTAAGGGGGGGTTGCTTGGTTATTATTTTATTTATGGGGATTTGCTTGTCTTTCAAAAATAATTTATATGTTTTTATGATTTTTTTCCCCTAAAAGTTTGTCTGCTTTACAATCCACACACAGGCATATTATGTGTTGTGATGGTTACACTCTTTGCCGTAGCATGCAAAAAAATATTTTTTTAAAAATAAGAATGAAAAGGTAGAATTTTTTTTCTAATTCTTTGAGTTTGATTCTTCCACGGGGACATATCTTTTTCATCGAGAATACATATGTATTTCTCTTTTTGTCCGGGATACTGTATCTCGCAGTGTTTCAAGGAGCATTAAACTAAATAATTTCGTCCCTTTTCGTATCCCACTCAGGGCTGTTTGGACCTAATTGGAGGAGAGTGGAAGCAGTGCGCCTCGCCACCTTAGTGAAGGAAACTTGTCGGACTGGGTCGTATAGTAATTAAATATTGACCGTCAATCTGGTCATTTCCTGTCTCCTCACGCCGTCCCCTGGCGGCTCACTGTTTGCTCGGAGTGGGTCATCGTTTGCCGCGCTCAATTACTGAGGTACTTGTGATCGCCGCATACCGAGCCACGCACAGACTTGACACAGAAGTACTCTGATACTGTCGACCGGACTCTGTCTGTCTGTCTGTCTGTCTGTCTGTCTGTCTGTCTGTCTGTCTGTCTGTCTGTCTGTCTGTCTCTCTGTCTCTATGTG